ATTAAAACAATTCTCAAAAATTTCGTTTTCGAGTTTTTTTTTATTTATTCAAAGGGGGGATGTTTCTCAGAGTCTTAAACTATGTTAATCATCGATCGAGTTTCCACTTGCTGCTATTATGGCCTCCACACACTTCCGGAATGCACGACAGGTTCTAATAATGTAGTCTGGATCCATTTATCTCCAGGTACGGGTCAATGTTTGTCTGAGGCTTGCTGTACTCGGGTGGCGTTTAGAACAGGCCTTGGCCTTCATGACGCGCCATATTGAGTAATCCAGCGGATTAAGATCGGGGCTGGGTGTTCCTGCAACCACTTCTGAGTGTTCGAGGTGTGGCACGGAGCCCTATCTTGTTGAAATACATGATGGTGAGATTATATGGAGAGAGCTTTTGAGTATGTTTGCATCAGTCTAGTAGGACTGGGTGAATTGTAGAAGCTAAGTTCTGAGTAATTTTAGGAGGAATTTAAGAAAAACTGAAACTGGAATTTCAGGCGAATTTCAAGGATTAGTAGAAGGAGTTAAAAAATGCTATTGTAGAATTTAAGAAGGGAGTCAAGGTTAATTGAATTGAATTCCAGAGATAATTTAGAGGAATTCCCATACGGATTTCAAGAAGAATTCCTGAAAGACATATTGGAGGAATTTTGTATTGTCAGGAGAAATTCCTGAGCAATAATAGACGGAATTCCTGAGTAATTCTAGAAAAACGTTCGGGACAAATTCGTTGATAAAATCCATTAACAATATGCTCGTGAAATTCAGATTGTTTTTACAGGAACCTTTAAAGAATTTCTAGAATTAATTCCAGGGTGAATTTCAGAGGAATTTTGGGACAAATTTTCGGATACAATGTTGGAGGAATCATTGACGCATTTTTATTAAAAATTTCCCGGTAAATCTCTGAAGGAATTCCTCGATGAATTATTGAGAAAATTGTTTATCATTAATTGTGACTTATGTCTTGGGAGACTTCATGATAAAAATAATGAAGTAAATCATGGCGTAGCTTCTCGATAAATTCCAGGAAGAATATCTGGTGTACTCCCTAACTACTTCTAGAAAAGTTCTACGAGGAGTTCCAGCAGGATTTTAGAATATCACTTCAGTGGAATTTCATAGGAATTTGTAGGAGGAACAACACAGATAATCCAGGAGGAATTTCTGGAGTGATTCTTGATGGAGCCTTGGGGAAAGTCCAAGAAGGCATTTCTATGAATTTTAGGAAGTTCAAGAATGAATTCTAGAAGGAATCGTAGCATAGAGGTAACTCTAAGACTAGAAGGTCCCGAAATAACGTGCCCAACTTTTTGGCTCAGCTCTGGTACTCTCTTCGGTCCCAAGCTAATCGATTCACCTCTCGAAACATAGGAAAAACCAATAACCCCTCATTTTATCTGTCAAACTTTCATAGCGAATCAAAACAAACATTGCGTAGTACTAGAATTTCGACTAGAATGGGATACGTTAATCGTTTGCTTGGGACCAATAGGCTAGTCAAGTAGTGAGCCAATTTAAAATCGTTAGTTTCGTATTGATTGTTGATCTTAGTGCTCCAGGATAATTTCAAGTACTAATTCATAGATAAATTTTTGAAGGAATTAGTGTTCCATTGAAAAAACTACGAGAAACATTCAAGTGGTACCGATATTCATACATTTGAAAATGATTCGAAATGCGTTCAAATCATTTTTTAGGTGAACAGATTTTGGTCCCGCATGCAGTGCTGCAAAATCTCGACAGTACACGGTGATATTGACAATTCTGCTTTGGTCACTCATTGCAGCCAGCAGTCATAGTCAAGGCAAACCATGTCAATAGTCAATGACAATGCTGTCAGTGACAAACATGTGCAGATTTATTTATTAGCTAAATTTGTAACGAAATTAAATGACTTGAGCAAAACAATTACATGGATCCATTTAAGTGAATAAGTATCTACGTCCTGAGCTACTTGGATAACAATAATGTGACACAGAATGTACTAAATTACACTTTTTGTTACCAGGTGAATCTTTGTCATTGACGAAAAAATGAATGAGATTTTGACGAAGGTTTTTTGAGGATCAAGTCTGTCAGTGACTATGTGACGAACAATTTAGTCAATATCGCGCGAAAGTCTGTCAGTGACAATGACAAATCTCAGCACTGCCCGCATGGCACTGGAGCAAAACCTGAAAGAATGCTAGGAGAAATTACCCTAAAATTTTCTGAACAATAACAGAAATAATTCCACTGAAATTTCAAGATAACTTTTAAGATGAGTTCCATGATGGATGAGGAAGAGCAGTGTATCTTTAATTTCAGATGAAATTTCAGGAGTATTATTAAAAGGAAATTCAGAAGGAACTCCAAGCGGAATTTTTAGAGTCAATACTAGACTGATGCCAAAAGTGAAATTTTCGCTCCACAGTGCTCAAACGGCTTCAATCTGGGTCCTGATCAGCCTCTGAAAATTTGATCTCATATAGTACGAAACGGACTTGGCACAAACAATTTTAATTTATATTGAATTTACTATGAAAAAACTAAATATTTTGTTCATATCTTTCTAAAATTTCACCATTTCACTCTGCTTTAAAAAATGATAGCTATGCTTGAGGAAATTTTCTCAGCTAAAACTTCGTTCAGGATTACTTTTCGATAAAATGTAAGGAACTAAAGTTATTAATGATTCAAGCCACTAATATCTTCTGACTAAGCTCAATCAACTGTTCAGCAGGCAACAATGCTCGATTACTTTTTCAAAGTGACGTATCAGCTTTTGTAAACAATGCATTTGACCGTCGATTTGACGTAACTGATAGCTTGCCCACGCATGCTAACACTATCATCAGATAGGGGAAATTTTCCCCTGCCTGATAGTGGTGTTAGTATGTGTGGGCGAGCTGCCAGTTACACCAAACCGACGATCGAATGCATTGTTTACAAAAGCTGATACGTCCCTTCGAAAAAGTGTTACTGTGTTTCTGGCGCGTGGAATAGAGCATAAGAATCATGGCTACCATGTCACACTGCACAGTACAGTGTTGCTCACAAAACAGCTGCTTAATCCTGGAACGGGACGTGACAATCGGGTAGCGATTTCGAGCCATTTGTTCTGTTTATATTTACGAAAGGAAAGTTGAAAAATTGAGTGCACTGCATGTTTTGAGCGATGGATATTGTTGTTTGTTTATGGTTGTTCATTGAGTTGAGCAAATATGATGTACAAGCTTCTAAACTGCGGTAGAAACTCCGAATAATATCCACATTAAAATAGAAAAAAAAATATTTTACATTCCTGGCATCATTGGTCAACTCCATCAAACACCACGCACAACTTTCCGAAGGGCATTCCTCAAAAACATTAAGAAGAGTGAGAAGCTCGATTGTCAAGTCCCGTCCCGGGCTTAATCATGTCATTAGATTATCTGTCTCTTAAACAATTAATAACTATTTAACTTGCCGTTTGGCTGAAATAAAATCCCCGGAAAATTTGTAGCGGGAAATATTTTCCATATGAAAAACTATAGAACTTTTTAACATTTCCATATGGAAAAAGCCTAGAAGACAATGAACAAAATTTTTGGAATTCCCATAGTAATGCCCATATAAACTTCAAACGGATTGTGCCAAGTCAGTTTCTTACCAAATGAGTTCACATTTTGAGGGGCTAATCAAGATCCGATTTGAAACCGTTTGAGCATTGTGGAGCGAACATTTCAAATTTTGCATCACTTTAGTAAATACACGAGGAACTGTAGAAGGAATTCCAATTGAAATCCAAAAGGAATTTCAAGGGAAACTAGGAGAAATTTTATGCTATTTTCCATGAGGAATTTTAGAAGGAACGTCAGAAAGAGTACACCAAGAAAAATGACATTGGAATTCCAGAAGGCATTCCATGGAAATTGTTATATCCGTAACCAAGGCCAACAAGTAAAACTAGTTGTTGTGAGGAGCTACTGTTTATTAGTCTAACTTGGTTGGTGGTTGTAATAGTAATGACAATCTTTCTGCTATCATTCAGGCAGAGCCTACTACTCTCCCCCTTTTGAAAATAACATATGTAGGAACGTCGTAGGAATTCTTCAACTGGTTCAGATGGCACGGCTATTTGTGCAAACTGCAATTCTACATTTAGAGCAGCAGCTTCATGAATGACCATCGGATTTGTGTCGGATGTACTTGCTACTGGAGAACCAACAGGAATAGAGACATCGGGATTAACAGGTTCTTCTGGATCATTCGGTACAGCTATGGCATCTTGAACCACATCGAGCAGGATTTCCCATGGTAGCTGCTGCGTCGATTGCTCTGGGACATCAGAATTGTGACGAGAGCGCATTTGGTTGACATGCAACCTCACCAGCGTCGGTCTTCCGTTCATCTCCAGGGAAACGATATAGTAGACAGAACCTTTCCGTTTGATGACACGACCAGACTTGGCGTTTCAGTGATGCTGGTCAACGTAGACCAGGGGATCGTCTTCGAAGTCGCGCTTCACTGCGATTGAACTGCTCGTTTTGTTTGGCACCTTGAGTAACAGGAACAGGCTTGTTCAACAGGTCCAAAGTGGTTTGCACTGGTCTTCCGAGAAATGCTTCTGCTGGAGACGTCGATTATGCTGTGTTTCAGTTCGGCTTTGAGTGATACACCGAAAGGAATGTCTGCCGGTGCTCCAGTGTGGGCGAGCCTTCCCCCTTGGCTAGCTTCTTGAGGCCACGCTTGAGTGAATCAACGAATTGCCACACTTGGCCATTGGACTGTGGGTGGTAGGGAGCAGTGCGGAGATGGGTAATGCCATTTGCGCGGCAATACAGTTGAAACTGCTTGCTGATGTCCGAAACCAATGTGTCCGGGTTGCCATAGCGAGCAAACGTTTCACGAAGTATATTTGGAGTTACAATTGTGGTGATAGATTGCGTACGAAAAATTTCGGGCCACTTGGAGAATGCATTCACTGTGACGAAATAGTAGTATTCATGAATTGGATCAGCAAAATCAATATGGACACGCTACCATGGCTTGTCAGTAGGCCAGTAGCTGCAACTGTGGGCCAAAGACTTCATCCGCTCCACGATGCAACTGACGAACGATCCGCGCTTGTGAAACTTTGTTGGTACGAACATAACACAATTGCTGACGAATTGAAGTCCATCTCGTCTGGCGAAAAACTTCTTGACATCAGGATCAGAACTCTGCTTCGCATATACTGGCCAACATTTGTTCAGGAAATCCACCACTTGCTGAAGAACTGGACCCTTTCGCGTCTCAGCCACAATGATCTGGTGCGTGACTGGAAGGTTGCTGTTGGTGTCATTGAGAATTGCTTTGGCTACTGATTCGACGTACACAGCGGCTATCACGTAATCCTCGTCGGGTCTATGATGCGATGACATTTGACGTTTCGTTGACGAAACGTGATGGATGTCGAAATCGTACAACAGGAGTGTCAAAGCCCAGCGCTGCAAACGGTTTGCTGTGTAAACAGGTATACCTTTCTTTGAGCCGAAAAACTTGAGCAACGGTTGATGATCAGTTTGCAGGAGGAAGTGTCGTCCTAAAAGCATCTTGTGGAAACGGGTACCAGCGAATATCAGGGCCAATACTTCCTTCTCCACATGTCCGATTGCCTTCCCTTCACTAGTCGGAAATCGATGCATGATGACAGTGTGTAAGCAGCAGGTCGACAAGTAGAATGGTCTATATCTGCTCGAAAGATTTCTGGTAATTCTCGGTCCAGTTCCAGCATGCTTCCTTCTTGAGGAGGTTGTCCTGAGTTGCTTAATCTGCTTCACGAATCTACCATAGAAGTTGACAGGACCGAGGTAGGAGCGGAGTTGCTGAGCATCCTTCAGAGGCTGCATCTTCGAAATGTTTTTGCAGGATCAAGTCGAATGTCGTCCTTGTCCACGATGTGTACGAAGAACTCGATCTTGGAGAGTGCGAAACGACATTTTTCAAGGTGTAGGTGAGAACCATACTCACGCATCTGCGCGAGAACAGCGTAAAGACAGTGATGAGGATATCGTCTAGATGCCGGCTACCATGCTGTCGATGACTCACTGGAAAGCACCGGGTCCCGACTTGACTCCAGGGTGTAGTCGATTATACTGGAACAGTCTTACGTTGTTGCGTGTTGATCGAGAGTAGCTTTCGCGATTCCTCCTCGAACTCGACCTGTAGGTTGGCGTCAGACAAATCGAGATGGGTAAAGTAACGTGCTCCAGCCAGTTCTGCATAGAGGACGTCAGGATGAGGGAGCGGATGACGGTCACATTCCAGCGCGTTGTTCAGCCCCGTGGAATACCCGGACTGATACGTTGTCCGACTTGCGTACGACGACTATTGGTGCTGCCCAATCCGAGAATTGAACTTGAGAAATGATACCGTTATTCTGGAGGCCTTGGGTAGTGCAGCGTACGCTACTGATCGTTTCGGGTAGTAGGCGGGACGTGTGTCGGGCCTCATGTTCAGCTTCACTTGTGCTGTTGTGCATCTACCCAGCGTGCTTCGGAATACCTCTGGAAACTATTGCTTGAGTCGATTGGTGAACGGATTGGAACGATGGCGAACGATATTAACCAAGCTGCTTATTGGCACAGACCACAAATCGAACAGGTCCATAGTTTCGATTCCTAGAACGTTGAGTTCAACCACATAACATATGTGGAACTTGATCATCCAAAATCGACCCCATTTCAGTGATTTCAAGTGGTATAGAAAGACATCGATCTGTCAAATTGATTATACCAGCTTTAAATGAGAAAGTGAATTATATTAAAACAATAAGAGATTGGTTAATAATTCTATGATTTCTTTGCACTTCTGAACTTATGTCTTTGTTTATCGTTAATTATTTACGTCCTTTATTTAATACTATATAGCTGGATTTAACAAATTCATCACCTAGCTTCACACAGCAAAAAATATATTAATGTTTGCATTTTAAAAAGTAGAAATTTTTCGCAGATATTTTATGCAATGACCTGCCACTGCCACCAACGTCAGGTTGGTTTGGGCCGGAAAATATGCAGTGTTTTGAGGTGACCATCGTTCCATTAGCAAGCAGGACGATAAATCAAATCGAACGCTTCGATACCTGTAATACCCAATAATTCAACCCTCCATATGTTTCTCAACTGCGGCCAATTGAAATTTTTTGCTCAAATTCCAACACAAAGATCTACTCCAATTACTTTGTACTCAAAAACGTGGAAAGATTGATCTAAAAGGCAAAGGAGGGGCTAAACGGGGTCCTGACAAACTTTTTTCGACCACTCTGGCTAAGGTCCCAGGCTGGGACTCAAAGTTACCAGGAACAACTATTTTTTTCAACGTATGCACTATTGACAAACGAAAATATTCGTTAAGATCTATTTTATGTAGGGTAAGTGTACCAGTTTTGACACTAATGGTACAGTTTTGACCCAGGGCTTAAATCAAATTTGAAATAAAATTTCATGGTTTTATTTGTGTAGATTTATGACAAAAGATATGTTCGAACATTGTATAGAAAAAAAAAACTGGTTAATAACGCTCTTGATTGGCTTCTGACAGATTTGAAAATACTAGTTAAAAATACTTTGATAAGCCTCCTGTAGAGCTAGTCGGAAAAAAGTAGCCGCATTACCTTGAAACCTGCAAATGGCCTTTTCGGCCACTCTGTAACTCTTTACTCCTATAGTAAATCTCCCTCAGCAAACGTCTGTCTGTGCATGACACATGGTGGAAATTTCCTTTCCCTTTAACTCCTATGAAAATTTCATAAGATCCTGTTTGCGTGAAGAGATGGTGCCTCACTGATACCATGGTGGAGTGAAGAGATAAGACAAAGTTCACTAGATATCATGCACAGATTGTCAATAGACGAGTGCACGGATGGATTTGAGTTCACTCACTCGACAAAAAGTGACACAACAGCGGGGCCCTGTTTACTAAAAATGAACACATGAATAATACTCACGTAACATTTGAAAACGGCCTATCAACTTTCGCACACAAAACTTGTTAAGCCTTTTTCGCGCGAACCGAATACGCCCACGCAAACTAACAACACCATCGGGTAGGGGAAATTATCCCCTTCCCGATAGTGCTCTTGGTTTGCGTGGACGTACTTCGGTTCTGCCGCAGTGCCGACATCGCGTCTGACCACCATCTCCTCGTTGGAGAGATCCGCCTTCGTATCGCGCGGGTCCAGCGGCGGGAGGAGCGGCTCGGACGGCGATTCAACACACGCCGATTGGAAGATCCAGCAGTAAAAAGGTCATTCGTCGAGGAACTGGAGACCAGAGCTGCGGATATTCCTGATGGTGGCAGCGTAGAAGAGCAATGGACGGCGATCAAGGATGCCTTTACTGAAACGAGTGAAAACAACCTGGGCGAGCTGCGCGCTCAGAGAAAGGAGTGGATCACGGATGACACCTGGAGGAAGATAGAGGAGCGGAGAAATGCAAAAGCCGCGATAGAGCGGGCGAGAACCAGAGGAGCGAAGAACCAGGCCCGCCAACTGTATTCGGCTCTCGAGAAGGAAGTGAAGCGCTCGTGTAGGCGGGATAAGCGAGCGTGGGTGGACTCCCTAGCCGATGAAGGTGAGAAAGCCGCAGCAACAGGCGATATCCGTCTCCTCTACGATATCTCACGACGCCTGAGTGGAGCAAGGATGAATCCTAGGATGCCAGTGAAGGACGCGACTGGTCAGTTGCTCACCGACCCCACTGATCAGCTGAAACGCTGGTTTGAACACTTCGAACAGCTTCTACAAGTTTCGTCGGTCAACCAGCCATCAACATCTCGGCATGAACCGCCAAGAGTGCGACGCATCACTCGCGTCAATTCTGAGGCGCCATCCCTACCGGAGATCGAAGCTGCTATCCGAACCATGAAATCCAACAAGGCTCCCGGGGTCGATCGCATATCAGCAGAGATGCTCAAAGCTGACCCCATGCTATCTGCACAAATGTTGCATCAACTATTCTGCAATATCTGGGACACCGCGACTTTTCCGGCTGACTGGATGCAGGGCGTCTTAGTGAAGGTCCCAAAGAAGGGGGACCCAACTGTATGCGATAACTGGCGTGGCATTATGTTACTGTGTTGTGTTCTCAAAGTTCTATGCAAAGTTATCCTCAACCGGATACAGGAGAAGATCGACGCGACTCTCCGACGGCAGCAGGCGGGATTCCGTGCTGGAAGATCCTGTGTGGACCATATTGTCTCGCTCCGCATAATCTTGGAGCAGGTCAACGAATTCCAAGAGTCCCTTTACTTGGTTTTCATTGACTACGAAAAAGCTTTCGACCGACTCAACCACGAAAACCTGTGGGGCGCCCTAAGGCGCAAGGGAGTTCCGGATAAAATCGTCAACCTCATCGAAGCTCAGTATGAGGCTTTCACGTGCAGGGTGCTGCACAACGGAGCCCTATCTGACCCTATTCGGGTAGTCGCTGGAGTGAGGCAAGGATGTATTCTATCACCGCTACTGTTCCTCATCGTAATCGACGAGATAATGGTTGGTGCGATCGACCGTGTGCCGAACCGTGGGTTGCTCTGGCAGCCTATTACAATGGAGCATCTAAACGACCTAGATTTGGCGGATGACGTTGCTTTAGTATCACAACGGCGTTCTGACATGCAGAGTAAGCTCGACGATCTCGCCGAACGCTCCTCAGCGGCAGGTCTCAACATCAACGTCAGCAAGACTAAATCGTTGGATATCAACACGGGAAATCCATCCAATTTTACGGTAGCTGGTCAGGAAGTGGAGAAGGTTGAAAGTTTCCAATATCTTGGCAGCCAGATAGCGTCGGACGGCGGAACCAAGAGTGACATAGGTGCACAGATCAAGAAGGCAAGGGCTGCTTTTGCGAGTTTACGAAACATCTGGAAGTCAAATCAGATTAGTCTCCGCACGAAGATCCGAATTTTCAACTCTAACGTGAAATCTGTACTGCTGTACGCTAGCGAAACATGGTGCGTATCAGCGGAGATCACACAGAAGCTGCAGGTGTTCATCAACCGATGCCTGCGGTATATAATTCGTGCTTGGTGGCCTCACAACTGGATTTCGAATGTCGAGCTCCATCGACGGTGTCACCAGAAGCCGATATCGACAGAAATTCGGGAACGTAAGTGGAGGTGGGTTGGCCACACTCTACGGAAGAGCGGAAATGAAATCTGCAAACAAGCGCTGGATTGGAATCCAGCCGGACATCGCAGCAGAGGCAGACCCAGGGGCTCATGGCGGCGAAGCCTAAACAAGGAGATTAAGCAAGTCGACCGGAATTTGACCTGGGCCCAGGTCAAGGCGAAAGCAAACAATCGCCCAGGATGGAGATCTTTCACGTTGGCCCTTTGCGCCAGGGATGGCGCTCAGGACACTTAACTAACTTCGGTTCTCGTGGAAAGGACCTAGCAAATTATTTACAAAAGTTGATAGGCCCTTTTCAAATGTTACGCGAGCATTATTCATGTGTTCATTTTTAGTAAACAGGGCCCCGCTGTTGTGTCAAATTTTTTTCAGTAGATGAACAAAAGTTCACCCGTGCACTCGTCTATGTTTACTGAGTATGCAACCATAGCATTTCAAAAGAGCCAATGTCGCAAACGTAAACAATGACTTTTTCCGCAAATTTCTAGAGAATGGAAAACCACTCAAGCAAAC